CGCCCCGAGCCCACCCGCGGGGACGGGGGCGCAGACGGGACCCCCGCACCGCCCCCGGCCGGACGCCTCCACACGGCACCACGGGACGTGCCTGTGCCCCCCGTCCCCCGCTCCGGTTTGGGCCCATTGGGGATGAGCCACAGGCCCACACGTGGCCGCAGGGGTTGAGGCGGCTGCGTAGCCGTGTCCGGAGGAGCACGGAGTGGGAATCCCACTTCCAACGCGCTCCTGACCCGGCGCAGGCTCCACCAACGCAGCTGCTGCGCCTCTCCCCATCCCACTCCTGCAAGCCGCAGTCCTGGCTCGCACAGCCCTGGAGCTGCTGGCACTGCTGAGGCTCCACAGCGCCTGGTGCCGCCGTCGCTCCAAAGGCTGCGCTCAGTCAGCACCAGGCCGGGCTCCGCAGGAGCCGTGGCACGAGATGCCGGTCCCAAATAGCAAAGGAAAACTCGAGGACAGCGAAGCAGCGGGGCACAGGATGAGTGAATTCAGGGCTGGTGCTGCAGGCGCGAGCGCGCACGGAACGCGCACGGAGCACGCACGGAACGCGCACGGAGCACGCACGGAGCACGCATGGAGCATGCACGGAGCACGCATGGAGCACGCACGGAGCATGCACGGAGCGCGCCCCGGCCGGCTGCCGCCGCCACAGGTAGGTCTGGATGGAGTGAGCGGGCGCCGCGGTGTCGATGAAGCCCACAGCCGGGTCCGAGATGGCGAAGGGAACGTCCCGGGGAGACCTGGGGGGCGAGAGGGGACTGGCGAGGCCGGGCCAGCCGAGGGTGCCCTGCGTGTCCCCTGCCATCCTGTGCACTCACACATCCATGCACCCCCAGACCTGTGCATCTCCTGCACTCCCTGCTTCTATATATCCTATACATCCCCTGGAACCATGCATCTCCTACCTATGCATCCCATGCATCACCCGGACTTATACATCCCATCCAACCCATGCACGCCCTGGATCTGTGCTTCCCCTCCGCCCCATGCATCCCATGCATCCCGCCTCCCCTGGACCCATGCACCCCTTGCAATTCCTGGCCCCATGGCTCTCATGCATCCTGCGCATCCCCCCTGCCCGGCCCTGTGCAACCCCCTGCTCGCCTGTTGAGGACCACGAGGACGGCGGTGCCGTTGGGGTGGGATGGAGGGACGTGGATGGGTTGGGATGGCACGATGGGGTGGGCGACCATGGCATGGGATGTGGTTGGGTAGATGGGACAGGGTAGGGTGGGGTAGATGGGAAAGGATGGAGTTGGATGAGATGGGATGTGATAGGATGGGGTGGATGTGGTTGGGTAGGAAGGAGGAGACTAAATGAATGGGGTGGGAAGGATGTGATGGAGGGGGTGGGATAGGATGGGATTGGCTGGGTTGGATGGATGGGGTGAGGTATGGTAGAACATGGGCTGCTTGTAGAAGACGTCCTTGTCACGGTCCACGATGACGGGGCTGTCCACGTAGTTCTTGACCCAGTTGGGGCCGCCCTCCAGGTCCAGCGCCAGGTTCCAGTCGGTCCAGCCGGCCACAAAGTGGTTCAGGTTCTGCGAGGGGACAGCACAGACGTCAGCCCAGACGCCAGGGTGATGGAGGAAGGCCGTGCAGGCTCCCTGGCCCGTGGGCTCACCGTGAGGATGCTGTGGCTGTACTGATTGCCCCGCTCCCAGGAGCCCAGCACCACATCGGGCTCCCAGAAGTGGGAGCCGATGCACGCCTCCGTGGCCAGGATGAAGTAGTCGGGGAAGAGCTCGTGCGTGGGCACCACCGTGTCCTGGATGGGCCCGATGAAGTCCAGGTACCAGTGGATGCCGATGCCGTGCACGTAGCGAGCCGCCTGCTCGTCCTCCAGCACCTGCGCGGTGCGAGGGTCGGACACCAGCCACGTGCCCACGTCCCCCCCGGCGTCGTCGCCCCCTCACCACTTTGGCCCAGTGCGGCAGATGCAGCCGGTTGTCGTCCAGGATGATGAGGCGGATGTCGCGGTGGGAGCTGTTGGCCAACGCGGGGCCCAGGTCGCGGGCGATGAAGTCCCGCTGCTGCTCGGCCGTGAAGCCCAGGCACTGGAAGGGGTAGTTGTTGATGAGCCCGGCCGAGGGCTCGTTCTCCGCTGTCACGGCCCAGAAGGTCACGTTGTGCTTGGCGTATTCATCCAGAAACCTGCGAGCAGGAGGAGGGAGTCCTGAGCGCCTCCGGACCCACCTGGCTGCTCCATGCTTGGCCACGGGCACCCGGCACCACCGCAGAGCCCTGGGATGCACCGTCCCCCCAGCCGCTCCTCACCGAACAAAGTAGTTGGCCCAGGTCTTGTGGTACTTGTCCCCCGCCTGCCCCTTGAGCGTGCCCTTGCCCACGAAGGACTCACTGGTCTTCATCCAAGTCGGGGAGCTCCAGGGGCTGGCGTAGAGCGACAGAGGCCGCTTGGCCATGGCCATGGCTCGGCGCAGGATGGGGATCTGGGTGAGAGAGGGGCGGGAGCAGCCGTGGGGCTGAGCCCCTGCGGTCCCCTCGCTGCCGTCCCCCACCCCATCGCCTCCGCCGCTCGCCTTGAGCTTCGTGTCCTCGTCCCGCAGGCTGAAGTGGGCCAGCTCGTAGTCGAAGGGCACGTCGTCGTAGGTGTAGGCGTGCAGGGAGAAGTCGCAGCTGGCCATGGGGACGCGGATGAGGTTGTACTCCAGCCCTGCGGGGCACACGGGAGGCACCGGGGAGGCTCCGCACCCCGGCGGTGCCCGGGCAGCCCGGCCCGGCCCCCCGCGGCGCCCGGCACCCACCTTCCTCGGAGAAGTAGGAGCGGAGCAGATGCTCCTGCGCCCGCTCGGGCAGCGAGAGGATGTTGATGGCGGGCGCGCCGGGGGCGGGGCCCC